ACAGACTGAAAAAACAGTTTTAAACTTTTTTTTTTTTTTTTTTTTTTTAAATTTTGCTTCAGTGACTTCTTCAGTTATGAGAGAAACAGACGTCACATTTGACACTTGTGGTCTCTTTTATTTCAACTGTTTTAAGACAAACTGCGACTTTCTTAAATTATCTTTTAAGCTAACGAACATTGGCATCATTTAGAAAACAATTCAAACGGGATCTAAACATTAGTTGTCTCTAGCCTTTCACGAAACTCTACTGCCTAATTTACTTGTCTTTAAGAAATTCAGCCGTCGCTTGTAGTTTATCACAGTCCCTACCTGAGGCACGCCAGGTCCGGGCTCTGTCCCAATATGTTGGAAGCCTTTTTTATGCTAAACAGATATCGTTGTCTGATGTATCATTTGAACTCTAGTTGGTCTAAATGTATGTCGGCCTAAATGCAGCGTTTGAACCTCCGTGTCTTAAACTGATGGATGCCGTCAGAACAAAACAGCGTTTCAGCACAGTGATCGTTAACTCTTTATTGTGCACAATTAAATTTAAGGCAGTAAGAAGCATTTAAAAACAGACAGACTGAACATGGACAGGAACAAAGTCACATCACTCTCTCGCTGACGAGGAAAGCGTCTCCACTGCACGGTGTCGTACTGGACTCAGGCAGCCTTTAAATCTCAGTTATGGTTGTGCCGTACAGTGAGATTGAGCTGATTTTAAAGACTGCTGACAGGAACATTTTGGCGACCATTATCGGTGTGTCTGCACACAGGGAACCCATTCTCACTCCCGACTCATCATATAGGACGCTTGGTCAAGACCCCTTGGCGTCAGTTTGTAACGCACTGGGAAGCCCTTTAGCGCCATGGTTCAGTGCTAAAGGTAGGCTTAGTATAAATCACTCAGAGTCCGACGAGACCGCTGTTTGTTTCCGGTGTGAAACAAAAAGTCAACATTGATTCTTTGTAGTTATGCTATTTTAACCCAAACCACCATCCCAACCAAGTACTTTTGGTGCCTAAATCTAACCAAATTGCAACATTTCACAACATTAACCACTAGTTTTATTTTGAAAGTCTAACCAGACGTTGCATATTTGTTATTGCTAACTTGACAGCAGAGCTCTACACGCCAAAGGGTACCAGGGCGTTAGAAAACGACGCCAAGGGGAGTTGACAAAGTGTCCATGTGTGACGAGTTGGCAGTTAGAACATGTTGGAGTGAGATGTTAAGATTGATATCAGTCTCATGTCTGGAGTCAGGATGTGCTTAGCTTAGCTTAGCATAAACCCTGGAAACAGCTAGCCTGGCTCTGTCCAAAGTTTAAACAAGCACTAGTTTTTCGCCATTTTCTGTCACTACTTTTCATGAAGGAACGCGGCGTCTCCATTCTTACTTTCACATGTAAAAGATGTAAAAATTGTTTTTCACATTACTGTTAATTTAAGGATTAAACAAATTAGACAACATGTTAATCACTGAGCTTTAGCGGTCTTGGTAGGTGTGTGTTTTAGGCTAGCTGTTCCCCCCCATATCTAGTCTTCATGCTAAGCTAGGCTAATGCTGTGTTCCATTTACCTCAGAAGTCGGAGCTGGTAACGACGTCTGACCTGAGTTGACGGTGTTCCAGTTAACAAGTCGGAACACCTCGCTCGCCCAGCAGCTGTTTACAGCTAGCTAGGTTAGCTATTGTTACGCCGGTTGATTATTGTTGTTATTATTTACTAAATGCTGCAGCAACACGTCCACAGGCAGCAGCTGGACGGCACTTTGTGTACGAAAGACAAATCACAGTCGGGGTATGGCGGTTCTCCTCACTTCCCAAGTCGAAAATCCGACTTAAGGCAGCGTTCCCTTTGAAATTTCCGACTTTCAACTCGGAAATTCAAATGGAACAAACCATAACCACATCCTCACTCAGCTGACTTGAGACTGATAGCAGTTTAGCAAAGGAGGTGGTCAGTTTTTTCATCCAACCCCAGCAGAGGAAAGAGACAGGTGGTGTGATGTCATGAGACCTCTAAGTTATTTTCTGCGTTGACCAGCCTTCTTTTTCCACTGATTCAAAGTTTATAGGTGTGTTTTCCATTCAAACTTTAGATGCAGTTCCTGTAACAGCCACTAGATGCTGCTCAAAGAAAACTGATGAAATTAAAGTTTATGGGGGAAATGATTTCTCTTGTCTCTCTCTCACTGTCTTCGACATTAAACCGTGATGGTGGCCGCTTGGTAATATTAAGCCTCGGTCCAGCTCTTCTTCGGACGTACCGGTGCAGTGGAAACGTCGCTCAGCGTGTCATCCTGCTGAAAACAGACCTGCTGCCCTGCTGGAAAATAACAGTCAAGTCGTGTCAAGTGTTCAGTTTCGGCGTCGAGGCAGCAGACGCCTCCGGTCAGACTCTCAGGAGGGGAGAGGCGGGGTGATGATGCATTCAGGTGATGCCCTAAAAACGGCAAGAAACATCTGTAGCAGCAGGCAAAAATACTAGTTTGACCAAAACTGAAAGTCTGTTCCATATTTGTGAAATTTAATTTGTAAATAATAGGATTCATTTTCTCAGTCAGAGTGAAATTTAAAAGAAGTTTTAAAAAACTTGATGAGACAAAACATCCAGAACATTCGTCCATTTGTCTCCTCTCCCCACAACGCCCTGATGTGCAAACCAAGTTAAATGTTGATTTAAAGAACAGTCGTCACACGTCATGTCAGTTTCAAAGTAAATTCAGAAGCACAAAAAAACAAAACAGTGCTAGAGTCTGACGGGAGCTAACTGCTAACACGCAAGCTAGCTGGAAAATGCTAGCACTTTGTGTTAAAGAGGTCATGTTCGGCTCACTTTCAGTTTCATAATTGTAGGGGTTGTACCAGAACAGGTTTACATGGTTTAATTTTCAAAAAACACCATATTTCTGTCAGACTGAACATTGCTGCAGCTCCTCTTTCACCTTGTGTGTTGTTTTAGCTAGTTTAGTTTAGTTATTAATCTGTCACATGTTTATCTTTCATTATGTTTTTAACCAAAACTCAGAATATGACCTCTTTAAGACAAAATGACACTAAAATTATGATTTATCTGGAACAATCTGTTTAAAGAGCAGAGTTCTGAGTGCTCGACAGGTTTTGATGCTGTGGGTGAATTTCAGTTGAGATTTGATCAAATTGTACTTAAAAAGGCGCAAAATACGATCCAGTTTTCATTTCTGAAATACATTTTCAAATTTACCTAACTGCAAATCAAAACCTGTTTGTTCAGGACAGATATGTTCATGAATCCCGATATGTTAAGTTAAACTGTAATCTTCTGCCACAGTCTGTTCGTCTGTTCACGGGAGGATTTAGAATAGTTTTTTCAATGAGACTAAAATCTGTTTCGGGTTTTCTATTAAGACTTTCTGCTTCTTTGGACACAAACATAAAATCTAATCAGTAAGAATCGATCAAACCACGTGTGTCACGAAAAACAAAACGGTCACTGCTTTGGTCCTGACCTCTCAGACACGTGATACATTTACAGAAGCAGCACCTGAATGCACCATCATTAAACATTCATCGCTGGGCAGGTGGGTGGGGGTGTCCAGGTGAAGGAGGATTGATTGACAAGTGATTGGCAGGTGGTGGGCGTGGCTGAGCAGGTGATTGTGTGTTTCATGCATCTGTGGTGATTCCTCTGTAGAGAGAAAAAGTCGAGTGAGGCGTTAAGAGAGAATTTAAAAGGTTCAGTGAACGTCAGTGGCCTGCAGCACCGTACCTGTCCAGAGGAGGGAGCCGTTAAGAGGGGTCGGGCTGTCGGAGGGAGGGGGCGTGGTCTATCCTCGACTGTTTGGTAGACGACTCATTCCAATCCTGTCGATGGGAGGCGGATTGACTCGTCGCCGTGGCAACTCAACTGTCTTGCTGCAAACACACAAAGGAAGACGATAAGGTGAACAAGGCGACGACTGGCTGCGGTCAAATCAACTTTACTAAGGAATCAACCCGTTCTCACTCCCCAACTCGTCACATGTGGACACATGGTCGAGACCCATCGGCGTCAGTTTGTAACACACTGGGGATCCCTGTTGCGTCAGTTTGTGACGGTAAAGGCAGGTATATGATATTTAACAGAAAAGACTGAGTAAGGAGGTGGTTGGTGTGGATGGAGGGCCAGAACCCCGACTTTGAACCATGAGACCGGGGTTCGTGTCCAGTGTGAAACAAAAAGTCAACATTAATTATTTTTATTTGAGTTACGTGAGTTACTTAAATTCCGTAAGTAACGCAAGTGACGTTAGTTAACTTAAGTGTTAACTGGTGTATGTAGTTATTTTAACCCAAACCAGGATCTTTTCCGAACCTAAACCAAGTAGTTTTGTTGCCTAAATCTAACCAAACTGCAACTTTTCACAACTTTAATAACGTGCCGTTTCAAAATGGCAATGTTTTGAAACACTAGCGTTTTATTTTGAAAGTGTAAACAGACGTTGCATATTTATTATTTCTAACTTTACAGAACTTTGCATATTTGTTGTTGCTAACTTTACCAGAAGTTGCATATTTTTTGTTGCTAACTTTAGGGGACGTTGCATATTTGTTGTTGCTTACTGTACCGGAAGTTGCATATTTGTTGTTGCTTACTTTACCAGAAGTTGCATATTTGTTGTTGCTAACTTTACCAGAAGTTGCATATTTTTTGTTTCTTACTTTAGGGGACGTTGCATATTTGTTGTTGCTTACTTTACCAGAAGTTGCATATTTGTTGTTGCTTACTTTAGGGGACGTTGCATATTTGTTGTTGCTTACTTTACCAGAAGTTGCATATTTGTTGTTGCTAACTTTACCAGAAGTTGCATATTTTTGTTACTAACTTTAGGGGACGTTGCATATGTGTTGTTGCTTACTGTACCGGAAGTTGCATATTTGTTGTTGCTTACTTTAACAAACTTGTATATTTGTTGTTGCTTACTTTACCAGAAGTTGCATATTTGTTGTTGCTTACTTTAACAAACTTGTATATTTGTTGTTGCTTACTTTACCAGAAGTTGCATATTTGTTGTTGCTAACTTTACCAGAAGTTGCATATTTTTTGTTGCTTACTTTACGGGATGTTGCATATTTGTTATTGCTAACTTTACCAGAAGTTGCATATTTTTTGTTGCTTACTTTAGGGGACATTGCATATTTGTTGTTGCTTACTTTACCGGAAGTTGCATATTTGTTGTTGCTAACTTTACCAGAAGTTGCATATTTTTTGTTGCTAACTTTAGGGGACGTTGCATATTTGTTGTTGCTTACTGTACCGGAAGTTGCATATTTGTTGTTGCTTACTTTACCGGACATTGCATATTTGTTGTTGCTTACTGTACCGGAAGTTGCATATTTTTTGTTGCTTACTTTAGGGGACATTGCATATTTGTTGTTGCTTACTTTACCAGAAGTTGCATATTTGTTGTTGCTAACTTTACCAGAAGTTGCATATTTTTTGTTGCTAACTTTAGGGGAAGTTGCATATTTGGTGTTGCTTACTTTACCAAACTTCTATATTTGTTGTTGCTAACTTTACCAGAAGTTGCATATTTGTTGTTGCTTACTTTACCGGAAGTTGCATATTTGTTGTTGCTAACTTTACCGGACATTGCATATTTGTTGTTGCTTACTGTACCGGAAGTTGCATATTTGGTGTTGCTTACTTTACCAAACTTCTATATTTGTTGTTGCTAACTTTACCAGAAGTTGCATATTGTTGTTGCTTACTGTACTGGAAGTTGCATATTTGGTGTTGCTTACTTTACCAAACTTCTATATTTGTTGTTGCTAACTTTACCAGAAGTTGCATATTTGTTGTTGCTTACTTTACCGGAAGTTGCATATTTGTTGTTGCTAACTTTACCGGACATTGCATATTTGTTGTTGCTTACTGTACCGGAAGTTGCATATTTGGTGTTGCTTACTTTACCAAACTTCTATATTTGTTGTTGCTAACTTTACCGGAAGTTGCATATTTGTTGTTGCTAACTTTACCGGACATTGCATATTTGTTGTTGCTTACTGTACCGGAAGTTGCATATTTGGTGTTGCTAACTTTACCAAACTTCTATATTTGTTGTTGCTAACTTTACCAGAAGTTGCATATTTGTTGTTGCTAACTTTACCAGAAGTTGCATATTTGTTGTTGTTTACTTTAGGGGACATTGCATATTTGTTGTTGCTTACTTTACCAGAAGTTGCATATTTTTGTTGCTAACTTTAGGGGAAGTTGCATATTTGGTGTTGCTTACTTTACCAAACTTCTATATTTGTTGTTGCTAACTTTACCAGAAGTTGCATATTTGTTGTTGCTTACTTTACCGGAAGTTGCATATTTGTTGTTGCTAACTTTACCGGACATTGCATATTTGTTGTTGCTTACTGTACCGGAAGTTGCATATTTGGTGTTGCTTACTTTACCAAACTTCTATATTTGTTGTTGCTAACTTTACCGGAAGTTGCATATTTGTTGTTGCTTACTGTATTGGAAGTTGCATATTTGGTGTTGCTTACTTTACCAAACTTCTATATTTGTTGTTGCTAACTTTACCAGAAGTTGCATATTTGTTGTTGCTTACTTTACCGGAAGTTGCATATTTGTTGTTGCTAACTTTACCAGAAGTTGCATATTTGTTGTTGCTTACTTTACCGGAAGTTGCATATTTGTTGTTGCTAACTTTACCAGAAGTTGCATATTTGTTGTTGCTTACTTTACCGGAAGTTGCATATTTGTTGTTGCTAACTTTACCGGACATTGCATATTTGTTGTTGCTTACTGTACCGGAAGTTGCATATTTGGTGTTGCTTACTTTACCAAACTTCTATATTTGTTGTTGCTAACTTTACCGGAAGTTGCATATTTGTTGTTGCTAACTTTACCGGACATTGCATATTTGTTGTTGCTTACTGTACCGGAAGTTGCATATTTGGTGTTGCTTACTTTACCAAACTTCTATATTTGTTGTTGCTAACTTTACCAGAAGTTGCATATTTGTTGTTGCTAACTTTACCAGAAGTTGCATATTTGTTGTTGTTTACTTTAGGGGACATTGCATATTTGTTGTTGCTTACTTTACCAGAAGTTGCATATTTTTTGTTGCTAACTTTACCGGAAGTTGCATATTTGTTGTTGCTTACTGTACCGGAAGTTGCATATTTGTTGTTGCTTACTTTACCAGCAGTTGCATATTTGTTGTTGCTTACTTTACCGGAAGTTGCATATTTGTTGTTGCTAACTTTACCGGACATTGCATATTTGTTGTTGCTTACTGTACCGGAAGTTGCATATTTGGTGTTGCTTACTTTACCAAACTTCTATATTTGTTGTTGCTAACTTTACCGGAAGTTGCATATTTGTTGTTGCTTACTTTACCGGAAGTTGCATATTTGGTGTTGCTTACTTTACCAAACTTCTATATTTGTTGTTGCTAACTTTACCAGAAGTTGCATATTTGTTGTTGCTAACTTTACCAGAAGTTGCATATTTGTTGTTGCTAACTTTACCAGAAGTTACATATTTGTTGTTGTTTACTTTAGGGGACATTGCATATTTGTTGTTGCTTACTTTACCAGAAGTTGCATATTTGTTGTTGCTAACTTTACCAGAAGTTACATATTTGTTGTTGTTTACTTTAGGGGACATTGCATATTTGTTGTTGCTTACTTTACCGGAAGTTGCATATTTGTTGTTGCTTACTTTACCGGAAGTTGCATATTTGTTGTTGCTTACTGTACTGGAAGTTGCATATTTGGTGTTGCTTACTTTACCAAACTTCTATATTTGTTGTTGCTAACTTTACCAGAAGTTGCATATTTGTTGTTGCTTACTTTATGGGACATTGCATATTTGTTGTTGCTAACTTTACCAGAAGTTGCATATTTGTTGTTGCTAACTTTACCAGAAGTTGCATATTTGTTGTTGCTAACTTGTTGCATTTTTTTGTTTGCTAAGCATTGCAAAGTTGTTTAACCTAACAAAGTTGTTTTTGTTGCCTAAAACTAACCCAGGGTTAGGTGCTTAGGTTTAGGCAAGAAAGGAGGTGAAATTATGAAATTATCTGTTCGGAGCCAGTTGGTATAAAATCCCAAATTTGCAGTTAATCAAGAAAGCAATTGACAAGTGGTGAACGTGTAGGTTTTCTGGTCCCCAGGTCAGTTGGTAATCCAGATGAGGTAGTTACTTCACTCCAAACCGACATACTGTAAAATCAACCTGGCTGGTTCCATTATTAATGAATTTAATGAGAAACGGCCCAGTTTGTTAGAAGACAGTGGAACCCTCAGAGGAACGTCGTACCAAACACTCACAGGGTTCTCACAGCTCGGGTCGTCCTACCTCTGCTTGTTTGTTGCTTGTTTGGTTTCCATGGAGCTGATCGACAGACGGTCCAGCGGGGCGTTGTTGCCAGGGAAACTCCTCTTCCTCTTTGGCTCCATGACATCATTCTCCAGCGGCGCCAGGTCATCCAGTCGAAGCAGCTTTGCCGTTAGCTCCTCCCCGGTCTTCACCACTCGGGGACGAAGCCGAAGAGCCGCCAGAGACCTGGACACGGGCCAGTCTACACGCTGGGACACCTGGACAGGATAAAGATATGTACAAAATTTTCTAATCCATAATTGTTCCATCTTAACTTTTAAGCCAACATGAAGAAGAAGTTCTCCGAAAAATTTAAATGTGAATATCTCCAACCCCTTTCAGTAAAGGTGGGCTAGGGCTACGTACCTAAGCAGAGGATTAAGAAAGGATAGGTCTATGCACTGAAAGAGTTAAAGATCCTGTGCTCAGATAGGATGAAAGGCTGGGATATGTCTATGTACTGACACACAGGCTTGGTCTATGAACAGGAGCAGTCAGGATGTGTTTATACAGTCGAGATGTCTATGGTCTATGTTTTGATAGACAGGAGAATTGACCTCATGTCAAAAGTTTTCTTAAAAGTTAACGTATAAAATATGAAATCCTTCACAGTGTAAAAGCGTTAAACCAGATGAGTCAGAAGTGTTTTCATTGTTGACTCCTCAGGGGGGAAAGTAATACAGAAAAGTAACTTAGTAAACCCAGTACTAAGTAATGTGATATTACTTTTTAAGTAGTAATAAGTAAAAAGTATTTAATTATTTTAATTAATTATTTAGGTTTTGTTATTATAATTGTGTAGACAGGAAGTTAAAAGGCAGAATGTAACAGAGCAGTGCTTCACTGTTGCTGGGAAACATGAGCAGGATAGAGATGAAACACACATGGAGGAGTCAGACCTGAAGTCCACCGCTCCGATCTGAGAGCCTCCAGCTTCTCCTCCATATTTTATTTTCTATAAGGGAGTCTCCGTATAGAAAATATTGACCTCAGCAGAGGAGGGCCACCCTGCTCTGTGTCTCCACCTCGTCTGGTGTTTTCACACGTCAGGACTCCATGTTGCGAGTCGTCTCTTACATCACCGCCCTGACAGCGCGCAGGTTCTGACTTCCTGTCCGCCTGCGATCACATCTCATCCAGACTAAACACAAAACACCTTCAGGTTCGTCTCCCTGCAGCTGTGTTGGCCTTCGCTCTGATCTTACATCATCTGATATCAGCACAGGGGCCCCCGGGAGGAGAGGCCGTTTGTTTTGGCCCTCGGGATGATTTGATAAGACGCCACGTGATCAGCTGCTTCACCGTCTGATCCGGGACGTAGGATCCGTCCCGCAGACTACAGACGCTCACAACATGTCACATTTTAATCAGCTATTTGTGTAAAAGTACTAATACCACAGAGTGGAAACACAAAAGTAAACTTTTACGTTTTTACTTTTATCTTTTACTAAAAGTTGAAGTACTCATTATTCAGAATAATATTTATGAAACAACTGGATGATAAATATTGATGGATTCATGTGTTCATCCCTTTAATGTTGCAGCTGTTCATTTTAATGAACTTATAATAAAACATCATAATTTATTAGTGAATTATCTTTGGTATTAATATTCTAAATCAGCACGGTAGCTAAAGTTATCAGATAAATGTAGTGCAGTATCTCCCTCTGAGATGTGGTGCAGTAGAAGTAGAAAGTACAGTACAAGTACCTCAAATCTGTACTCAGGTACAGTACTTGAGTAGATGTACCTTTTTAACATTAAAAACTCGGAGCGTGTCACCTGGTAGAATCATGTTTTTTGCTGCCACACCTGCACCACCTTGATGGAGAGTTACCTGCCTGCACCGCCTTGATGGAGAGTTACCTGCCTGCACCGCCTTGATGGAGAGTTACCTGCCTGCACCGCCTTGATGGAGAGTTACCTGCCTGCACCGCCTTGATGGAGAGTTACCTGCCTGCACCACCTTGATGGAGAGTTACCTGCCTGCACCGCCTTGATGGAGAGTTACCTGCCTGCACCGCCTTGATGGAGAGTTACCTGCCTGCACCACCTTGATGGAGAGTTACCTGCCTGCAGGTGTGTGTGTTTGTGTGCTGACCTGTTTGACTCGGAAGCCGTCGACGCTGCCGTGGAGCACAGTGATGGACAGCAGGCAGCAAAACATCAGACAGCCACAGAACTGCATCTGCAACAACAACAACAGGTCACCTTGGTGTCAGTGTCGTTACTACACGACAGTTTACCGTCTCCTCGTTCATAAAATCTGTCGCGGCACTGCTCGTTTTTTATGAATAAGCCAAATATAATATTTCATAAAATCTCAACTATGGATGTCAGACTTTCCCAGCTGCACCTGAACGCAACAGAAGCTTCATTGAAAGGTCAGAGGTCACAGTTGTCTCAGCCTGTATTGTGGTCCCACACTAGATGCAGCACTTTATATCTTAATAATTTGCACTTTACAACGTATATTGTGTGTGATTTTACTGCAGCACACTCTGAGTTTTTAGTTTCACTACAGAAAGGTTTGAGTATAAAATCATTTTGCCAGTTTTCCAGTGTTTTAAAGAGTTCATACTCTGCTTACTTTCATCTTCATAGTTTCATTTGGAGGTTGTACCAGAACAGGTTTACGTGGTTTCATTTTCAAAAAACCCGAGTGTTAAACGCTCCGTTTCAGCTACAGAGTGAAGCATCTCACTTCTAAAAGGTCTTTGTTGGGAGCTGCACATGCTCAGTACCTAGGTAAGGACTACTAGCCAATCAGAAGCAGAGTAGGGCGGGTCCTGACAAGCAAGGTAGTGTGATCCAAAACGCTGTCAAAACGTAGCAAAACGTTTGTTTCAACGGAAACGGTGGTGCCTTGAACGCACCGTTGTGTTTGTAAGCCTGCTGATTTTTAACACTGCTGTGTTTACAAACTTTAGCAGCTGATTGGGTAAAACCTCTGACACACCCACCAAACAGGGGGACGTGGGCAACGTTTCAAGGAAACAAGTCGTCCAGTCCGAAAACATTTCAAACCGGTGCAAACCGCTTTGAAATGGCTTCACAATCTAGACTGGATGTCGGCGAGCATTATGCTGCGTGTTAGCTCGTGACGCAGAGAGGTTACGGAAGTAAAGGCTGGACTACAATCCAGCTGTGTTCAGTTCAGGAGCAGAGTTTTCTGTGGGAGGTAGGAACTCCCTTTAGGGCTTTTCACTTTCCAAACCTGTTACAAGCACAGAAAAGATTTACAGGAGAGGGGAGAAGCAGAATATGACCTCTTTAAAGTCTTTTTGCAAACACACACACACTGCAGGACACTTTTAGCTCAGCTGATGGGTCGATGGTATTGTCCAGCAACATCGGCTAATTTTAGCATTTTCCATCTCTGCAAATAAATGTCTTTTGACCGTCACATGCACGTTCACTGACGTGCACGTGCACGTGCCTGCATTCTCCCCTGACACACACACACACACACACACACAAACAAACACTTGTTGTCTACGTCACACACATTCTTAATGATGCACAAACGTCTGTGCACGCTCACACACGGCTATTCACACCAGTGCTGCTGACATACTGCCGCTGTCATTCATGCACGAGTGAGGATATAACACACACACACACACACACACACACGCAGCAAATTCTTCCATTCACAAAAATACCCCGTGTTTCCTCCCTGCAGCCCAGCAGCACACTGAACATCACCTTCATGTGCACCTGAACGCAGCGGCGACACTGTGTTACGACCCGCTTGTTTGGAGATTTCTTTTTTGCAAAAACTCTAACTGATATTAAGGGACAATAAAACAAAATAGAATTCCAGGAAATACAATGGCTGACGTTTTAGGGCGCTGTTTCAAAGCTGATGTCTTTTTCTGATGGGATCTCTGATTATAAAAGAATGCATTTTTATAATCAGAGATCACGTCAACACCCTAAAACAACACAAGAGCTAAAACCATGGAAACAAACATTAGCAATCAACCAAAAGCAGAGAGAGAGAGCAGACAGTTTCTGCAGCAGTGGGTTAATCTCACTGTTATTGATCAGTTTGACAGGAAAAACTAAATCAAACACCAGAGAGGAGAAGAGACAGAAAGTTAGAACAGCAACGCACCAGTGCAAAGGGAAAACTCTTCTGGAGCAAAGTACATTTTGCAACGTAACACCTGCAGGAGTCTGAACCTGTGCACACCTGCACCGCACACACACACACACACTCACACACAGAGCGCCGTGCATGTATAAACAGCACACACACCTTCAGTCTGGAGTCGAGTGTGTCCGTCCTGCTGCGTCGTCTCTTCTCTGTGTTTCTGTGTCTTCACATCAGGTTTTATAGCAGCTGCCCAGGAATCTCCTGTCCAATCAGCAGCCTCCGCTACTGTCACATCACTTCCTGTGCTTACCCCCCCCCTCCCCCCTACTTTCCACTGTTTTTGTCTGACATTTATCTTTAGCACCATTACCTGTGAATGAAGCCTCCTGGGAGCAGCACTCCTCCTCCTCCTCCTCTTATGCAAGTCAGTCTTTCAAATAAACACATTTATATCTGTAACATCTCCCACTCAGAGCCCTGGACTGTCCAGCTGTGTGTTCGTTGTAACATCAGCCTGAAGCGCCGTCCCTTCTGATGTGTCTGGTGTTGAGCTGGTAGTTTCCTCAGTTGGGAAAATAACAGAGCCAATCAGAACGTTAGCAGGCGTCAGAACGTTAGCAGGCTCTTGTAGGTCGGAGATTTCTTTAAACCATCAAATTAAAAAAAACTTAGAGCAACATAAAGCAGCGAACATGAATACATTCAGTCTGATTATCAGGACATTAAAACGTGCAAACTGTCATTGTAAACCATTAAAAAGTGAAGGTTACATTTTCGTGAAGGTCAAGTCTTCGCCGTAACAGACGGCGTTAGCATTTATACTGTGCGATGGTGTCTGCGTCGGTCTGCAGTTACACCTCCAAAACTCTAGTGGCAGAGTTTCTTCTTCTTTGTCGGTGTCGGCTGCAGTGGCTCTTGTTTGAGTCGGAGCTGATCGATGTTAAATTACTAAAACGCAGAAACAACAGAAAGCATCGGGGGCGTTGGGATGTACGACGCTTGGAACGACTGAGGGAGAAGAAGAAGGAGAAGGACGAGCCGGAAATGTGTAGGATGAAATGAGATGCTACCAAGCCGACCGATCACAGTTCTTGCGGTCTGCGTCGCCGCAACCTGTGGTTCCATTTTGAGGAGGTGTGTGTCGGGCTCGGCCGTGGCCTTTGACATATATTCGACGCAGAAGTATAAACTTGGCTTTAACGTGACATGTCGTCTGAGGAGGCTGGATGTTCTTGATCTCTGCTGATGAACGGGCTGAGAGAGAACTACTGACTTCTGGGTTTAGCGCCGTGCGGCAATGTTCCCCATTTTGTGGATGTATGGTTTGGTATTAAACAAAGTCAGAGCTTTTGTAAATGCTACTCTAAAGTTAATCTAAGTCAAAAACCACACAGGGAAGCTTGAAGCGATTGTTTCCTCACGGAGCGAGTGAGACCTTGAACACGAGCTCAGCGCATCACCCGCAGCTCAGAACAGAACTTTGAGCTTGTAACTTGTAAATAGGGGTGTAGCGGTACATAGCATCACAGCCAGTGCAGAGAAGACCCTCCCTTATTGTTAAGGTCTTCTGTCTGAACACTTGGTTTCTTAGTGAAATACAACCACGGACAAGTCGGTGAGACGACAGCAGCGGGCCGACGTTTCCCAGCAGTCATCGGGTTTGTTTCTGGCAACACGTCAAACTTGTTAACTCACTAATGGTGTCACACGAAGGAGAACGTCACTGCAACAAAACGAGCAGAGTGCAAACGCCTTTCAGCTTTTAAACAGACTTTAGACTCCTGAGCAGGCCTCCAGGCTGGACTGCTCATAGACGGGATAAAATAACCAGAATGCTGCACTGTAATCCATATTATTATATATTTTATTATATTTTATCAGCTATATGTGGTGTTGTTTTGAGAATATGTTATTTAGCAGAGAACTTGTTAGTAGTTTGCAACAGTTTTCATTTCTTTTTTTTCTTTTATATAATTTATTTATTATGCTGTAATTTGGAAGTTTACAAAAGTTCATAATAAACCAGCAGCAATTTAATGTTTGCATTTTTTCCCCTCACTGTATCTAAAATAAACCAAACCGTGACTTCAAAACCGAGGTACGTACCGAACCGAGATTTTTGTGTACCGTTACACCCTAGTAACCAATGGCACCCAATGAAATCACAACTGTCCACGCCAGAACCTCAAGGTGATCTCTGGTAGTTCCAATACCAAGTAATGACATCAATACTGATACTTTTCCAGTATTTTATTTCTAGTTTAATGTGACCCCCCCCTCCCGCTTCTGTATTTACGAGGGAAATAAAGAGCAGGCTGCAGGCCTACCAATTCCAAATAATAGCTGCATAATGACAAGACGTCAAACGTATTCATATTCTCAGAAATACTTCTGATAAAACACACAGTCCAAATGATTGTGTTTAGATGTCGATCCTGGAGCAGGAAACGCTGGTATCAGAAATATCGATACTTTAGGATCAGTAATCTCTGGAAGGACAGAAAGCCTCTGGCTGCATTCGGAACCACCCACCTCATACTACGACCCCGGTATGCAGGATGTGCTACGTACTGCACTATTTATTTTACTGAGTTGATTTCTGTAACATATTTAAACTCACAGTGAGGCTGTTTTTTGTGTGTTTGTGTGTGTACATGAGCTGTGCGACCGGCTCGGACCGCTCCTCACTTCAGTTTGAAGGTTTTTAATAGTCCCCGTAGTCCCAGTTCGACCTGGTCCATGGATCTGGATCCGTCTGTTAAACTCGGAGTTGATCCCTCTCTTGGTGATGGAGGTTCGGTTTGTCGCTCGGGTTTGTGTTGCTGTTGCTGCTAGGGGCAACAAGGCCCTCTCCCGTGGTCGGCGTCCCCCCGGGGCCGGACGACCTCCGCTCCGTCCCTCCATTCATTCAGGACGGAGGATTGGGTCATTGAGAAAACACACCTGGGTTAATAACAGTAATGACACCGCAGCTAATAATGACAGGAAACCCCCCCACACGCCCCGTCCACTTGCCCTTTAATTAGCGACGACTTTCTCTGCTAGCGGTGATGTCATGTTACCCCTGTTGCCAAGGGAAACAGAGTGGATTTAAATACAGGTAAGTAGAACCAAATAGATTTTCAGAGGCCTGTAAACCTGTAGTACAAATATGTAGACATGTATTACAGTTTCAAGTCTTCTAATAATCTGTGTGCATCTGTAGAATCATGTCTGTCTGTCCACAATCCCTCTGAAAAGAAGACATGAACGTGAAGCCGGCCTGTTCACTGTGGCTCTACTCTCCGCGGAGACTTCGGTCTACCTTGCATAAACGCTATGCACGCTTGGCATTTAGTTTGAAACTGGTATTAGAGACAACTGTTGTTGACAGACGTGGATCCTGATCAGACACGTTTGTATCTGCCGTCCAGCCGGGTCTTCGAGACGTCCCTCTCCCCAGCAACGTCTTCCAGCTCCTCCTGGGGGATCCCGAGGTGGTCCTAAGTCAGATGAGATATATAATCTATCCGGTGTGATCTCGGTCTAGCCCCGGGTCTGCTACCAGTAGGGCGTGCCTGGAAAAGGTGCACGCTCAGGAGGATCAGATGCCACCTCAGCTGGCTCCTTTTGACGCGACGAAGCAGCAGCTGCACTCTGAGCTCCCTCTGGATGTTCGAGCTCCGCACCGTCTCTCAAAGGCCCAGAAACACCTACAGCTCATGACCGCAGGTGAGGGCCGGTGTTCTGACGACTTATGCTTCCTTCTTGAAAAATGCTAGCATGGCGCGAGTCGACAGCAGGGTGCATCGGCTCGCGCTGCCCTGTCGAAAAATGCGACCTTATGTGTTCCTGTTTCCAAATGTGCAAAGGTGTTACTGTCACACTATTATGACATCTTGTTTTTTGAGCATATCTTGATAATCTTTATATAAGATTGCGTATTTATCTCCTATCAAACAATGCTCCCACCACAGAATGATGTAATGTTTATATTTTATATGAATTGTGTATTTTTAGACATTGCTCACGATCAGCCACATTGTCTGCACAGATTTACGGGCGTGGACACGCTTGTGGGTCATGCGCAGAACTGCTAAGGTAGCATATGTTGACAGAACACCGGAACCTAGATCGGCTCCTTATGTGAAAGCTTTGACTCCCGGCTCAGCTCCTCCTGAACCACAGTGGTCCAGCACAACACCGCATTACTGCTGACGCCGCACTAATCCAGCCGTCCGTCTAATGCTTTATTTTACCCCCGCTCACGAACAGCCGCCCGAGATACTTCAACTCCTCACTTGGGGCAGAAACTCATTCCCAACCCGGCAGGGAACCACGGCCTCAGACTTGGAGGTGCTGACTCCAACAATATGGACTTTATTGAGTTTTGAGTGTCCATTACTTAAAAAGCATAAGAACATTAAAAATACGCTGGTGCATTAAAACCAAAAACCTGACGGTGAGGTGCAACAACAAACAAAGGTCACCTGCTAAACTGTCCACGTGACGGAGCGTATCTGATCAGTCACTGGATTGAATGATTGATTTTGAAATTATAATCCTTTTCACTGCTTAGGCTCTCAAACTCTTGTGTCCACTTGAACTCTGTCGTGTGTCTCTGTGGTTTGAGTTGGCTGCCGAGGCTGGACAGGAATCCGCAGAGGTTTCCCTCCTGGTGGAGTTCAAACTCACATGACCCCGATGTTAAGGTGAGAAATAAATAGAGCTGCAGGTGACTCATGACTCTGGCTTTGAACTTGGACCAGCGTCCTCCATAACATCACTGCAGCAACAGGGACAACACCATCACCCGTAGAAACAGCCATGGAGAGGACTTGTGGAGCCAAGATGGCTGACAAAATGCTCTGGCAAAGCGCCATCACAACCAGGGTTCAAGTCCTCGTGTTTCCTCTCATGGAGGTGGTCATTTAACATCCATACTGACCAGTTTTTATTACATTTGCCGTTGATTTATGCTGCCCAGAGGATGAAACCTCAAGATTCTGGTGACCAGGATTCCATGTCGGCCAGTCACAAAGGGCCAAGCTGGTTCACACTTGGCAATCAGCTGCTTTTCCATAAAATAGAACCGGTGCGGCTCTGCTCCCCAGAGAATAAACCCCTTGACCCTGTTCCCCATCACAGTCCCTCAAACTAAATCTCTCTGACGTTTAATAATGATGATTCCGAATGATGATGTGAGGAATTAATGACGCAGGAAGGGGGGGGGCTATAAATAGCCAGAATTGTGTGTAATGGTTGT